GTGATGTTAGTCAAGTGGGGAGCTCAGGAGAGGCTCTTGATGACCGTGTAGCTTATTCTTGAAAGTGTGCAGTGTCCACTTTTTCTGAGTTCTGAGCATTTACATGGTGTTTTGGATGCAACTCAACCACACAGAAGTAGTGGCTTGGCCAAAAGTGCAGCATAAGGAGTGTGAGGTATAGAGACCTGGAGTGGAGCTCTTTTGAATTACTGCTTCCTTTATTTGGGGTTTGGAAACACTGGTGTGTGTTTCTGACAGGTTTTCCTAAGTTGTAGTTTGTGATGCAGTAATGGAATAAACCCTGGTCAGTGAAACCTGAAACCCTTCCCAGTAGGTTGGGGATTTGGTCTTCTCTGAGGGATTGTTTTTTAGTGCTTACAGTGGAGCTACTTCTGCTTGAAATATTCTTTGAGGTCTTTGAGTCTTCAGCACAGTACAAAATAAGGGTCTTAAAAGATGATGTCTTAAGAATTCTGCCCAGCTTTGGCCACATTTTCTGTTGAGTTCCGAGATTTGTTACTTCCATTATTTTTCTGGTGAGACAGGGATAACCTATTAATGATATTTGCCTTTCATCATAAGTCTTTCGGGTTAAAAAAATACCCTTTTGTTGATTAATCCTCAGGTTTCTTCTGAGAATGAGCAAATATTTCTCTGCTCATCTGAACTCCAGCAGAACTAAATGAACTATACTTGTGTTCCTTAGGAGAAGCTAGTCTGTTCTTTTTGAGGCCCTAGTCTGAGTTTCTTGGAGACAAAATTTCAAAATGACACATGCTTGCTTGGAGCTCCTGAGTCATCAGCAGGACTGTCTGTTTCCAGGAGCAGATTAACTTGTAAGAGCATCACATCCTGTCAATTTATCTTGCTTTTTGGCTGTACCAGTTCAGCCCCTTCAGGTGAAGATTTGATGGCTGGCACCCAGATACTGTTCTGAACATTAGGACCCCTTTGATGGTCAGCTTCTCTGTAGGATGTGGAAAGAGCAATCTGTAGGTGCCTCTTGGTTGTTCCATTTTTAGAAGGTCCTAAGAATACCTCTGAATTTTTCCTGGTCAGGGATTAGGCTGCCTTTTACCTTCACAAAAACCCCAAATGATTGAGCACCTTCAAAGAATGACAGTTGTTTTTAATGGCACCATATCTTGAATGAACTGATGCTTTTTGATATATATTTGGTCTTGATGGAATGGAATTGAGTCATATCAAAACAAATCATACGCCAAAGTACATCTCTTGCTGTACTTTAAAAAAAATCTTGCTCCTCAGCAAATTATTCCACATCCATTTGCTTCACCAGCTTCATACAGGTGCTTTGTATTGATGAACAGTGGTGGAGAAGCCAACAGCTTGGCAAATGACTTTTTTTTTTCCTCTTGCCTCAGTTGTGCCCCTGTTCCCCTCATCTTTCAGTGTGTTGGATTGAGGTGTGCTGCTGGTACAGGCTGGCACTGGAGGGGTGCTGTGTTTCCATGGGCACACTCATGGGAAAGCTTTTCCTTTCCTATCCTTGTACTCCTGCCACCTCCTGCCTGCCCCCACGCTGGCATTTGCACATGCTCTGGCACGGTGGATTGAAGGCTTAAACCTGTTTACTTCTTGGTGTGTGGTACAAGATTACAGGATTGAGCTGAAGATTTGCTAGTGGTTTGCTGTGTGGCTGCTTGCTCCTCTGAATAGGTTGATTAATGGTTGTGGGTTTTAGGTGGGGCAGGGAAGGGGATCAGGACTCAATATGGTGGCAGTATTGGCTGAACTTGGAATTTTAGTGTGACTTAGGTTTGCCTTGTAAAGTAAATGTCTCTGGAGGATTAAAATAATTTTTGGACCTAAATCTAGAAAATTACTTTGTTGCAGTTGTTCTTGACTTAACATCTTATCCATGAGGATTTCTCTGCATGTCTACATTAGATTAGTTAACAGATCACATTGTGTTTTATGAGAATTAGGAACATAGATGAGGAGTATCACTGCTGTAGCATTTCGAAGGTAAGAGTGGAATTGTGGGTGTTGAAAAGCTTTGGGAATGGCAGTGTCCTCTTGATGAATGACTACATTTTTCCGCCTCTCACTAAAGCTGTAAACACCAGGACAAAATTATATTCTACCAAAGCAGCAAGGCTCTGTATTTGATTTTTAGAAATTCCTGTTGCTGTGAGTGGGTGATAACTGTCAGCTGACACATTGTGACTTGCTTTGTCTGAAACACAGTAGAGAACGTTATTAGTCTGCGCTGCCCACATACTGCTTTAATCTTCCAAGTGTTTTTAGGATTGCCTAACCATAGCTATGCAGCCTGTGCTGTGCACAAAGTGAGTTACTGACAAGCAGATTTCTGGACTGGTTACAGATGCCTTCTGTGTTAGGAAACATGATTGCTTTTAGTATAAACACAGGGAGGGTAGCTGTGTAGTCTTGAGTGGACTGCTTCATTTGTTTGTAGTGTTAGTGGAAAAAAATCACATACCTTCAGATTCATTATGCTACTCTCATACCAGCTATACTGTGTTCAGTGGTCTGTCAACAACCACCAAAAGAATTCTGATGAGGGTAAGCACAGAGCAAGCCGAATCAGCTCTTAAGATATGCATGTGGTATGGAAGCTAATATCTGTCTGAAGAGCTGTGTGCTGTCATAGGACAGCTTCTTGCTGGTACTGGTAATACACCCCCCATCATTCTGAGCATTTAGAAATATGTATGTTGAAAAAGCATTTTTCTTTTTCATTCTGCTAAAATACTGTGGTTGGTATTGACTGGGGCATTTTAGCAGTTGTTTGAAGCATGGAGAAATGTCTTGCAAGCTGGTGGTCGAAACAGTGAGGTGGGTGGGGAGTAGTGCTTGTCAATAAGGATACTTTTAATCCTCTTATTCCTGTGAATAGTTTCAGTGAAGCTGGAGCTGAACAGTTGCATATAAGTCCAGTGCCAGGGAGGGTAACCTAACAAAAAGTAAGTCTTCAGATGTTTGTAGTTTAGGTTGTGAAGTGATGTGCTTGCCTTTTTGCCTCAGGTTATATTTTAAGCCTCTTTGTCTAGCAGAACCTCATTTTTGTGAAATTTAATGATGTGCTAGCTAAATGTAACCTGCTGCCTTCTCTTGTAGATGTAGCAGCACCAAAAGCAATGCTCCTTATGTGCATTTTGTAGTTGCTGCTCCTGTCTCTTATCAGGTTCCTGATTTTCAGAGGGAGGGGGCACAACAGTGATGGAGGCCTGAGTGTGTCTGCATCTGGAGAATGTATTTGCACTGGCAGCCAGTGTATTGCTGTAAAATGGGATTGCACCCTGCTCAGATTAGTACTATTCTGTTCTTGTACCCTCTCTTTCCTCTCTTGTCCAGGCACATCAGACTGACTGACTCGGCCAAGTGTGTGCATATTGATTGTTGACATATAAATTGCCATTTGGAGCTAGAAACTGAAATTAAGTGGGGAAAACCAGTCTTTGTTCCTTTTCCTATATCCACTCAGTTGTGGACTTAGATAAGCAAGGGGATGGTGCTTAAGTAAGAGTTCTTTGCTATGATTCATAACAGTTGTAAAGGTTCCTAAATTTTGTCTGTAACATCGGATGGGTTGCAAAGGTCAGTAACTAAATTAGAAAACTCATTTCATGTGGTACAGCTGACCAAATGGAGGAAGGTCCTTTCCAGTCACTGCCTATACTGCCATAAAGGACAATTTCCTTTGCTTTAATGAAAGTTAAATGTTTTTTGCTATAAATGGACCGTGCACATTAGAAGTTATAAGGTGAAGGAAGAAAACCTGTTTTCAGTGTTTGGTTAAAGTTATATGGAAATCAACATCTGAACTCTAGAAATAGCAAGCTGAAGTATTAATTCACATTCTAGTCTGTACTGGATGGGATTCTCAAAGCCAACTTCTGTTTCTTCTGTAAGTGGGAGTGTTTTTATACTGAGGTGCAGATTCCTTTCTAGGAAAAGAAACTCCAAAACCAAACAACCCCCAAAAACCTAGTTTACCTTCTGATAGCTGTGGATGTGGTGCAGTTCATTTGTCCATTCCATGGTCTGGCTTTCAGACTTTACAGGGTAGGCTTGGTTTTTGCACTCTGTCTGTGAATGACCAGCGTGGCACAAAATGTTTTTTTAGTTAGGAGGTGTTTGGAAATTCTGCATTCTTGTTTCCTTGATTTGCAAACCTTCCACTAACATTTACCTCATGGAAGTGGAGGATTGAAATGCTGCTCATCTGTCTTAGCCAGCGCTCAGCTGTCCAGAATGTGAGGGCTGTGCAAGTGCTTATTCCTGCTCTGAATTCACAGCTTGTTCTCAGTTTTTCTTATGCATGGCATTTCTGCAGAGGTGGTTTAGTTATGATTCTCTGAACAGCTGTAGTTGTCTGAAATAGTTGAGCAAGAGTTGTGGTTGAACTTCATCTCTCTAGTGTGTGTAAGGAAGCAAACCAAACTCCACAGAGCTGAGGGTTTAAAATGGTGGGACTTTGGTTCTTGAGAATAAAACCTCTTACAGGAGATGATCTGGTAAAGGAGCACACAAATATGGAAGAGCTGGGTACAATTACCTTTTGTATTTAGCAATCCAGAGACAGTGAGAGATTCCAGGTAAACACTTTGGATATCCTGCTAGCTGGATTGCTGGATATACAATGCTCAGGGTTTGTGGATAAGTCCAAGCAGCCATTTGCAGAAGTACAATGGTTTTGAAGGAGTGAGAAGGCAGATGAGTGTTACCTTGCTTATGTTGATCTTCCTAGGCTAACTGTATAGTGACTTTCCTTTGTGGGTGTGCCTGCCCTGTTATAACATTAGGGTGCTTAAAGATAAGATTATTAAGCAACAGATACTGAAAGGTAGTGTAGGGTCAGTGGAAGTGTGAGCTGACTTTGAAAATGCCTTTTGATGGCATATGGTAAAGATTACTGTACTCTCTTTCTCAACAGAGCAAGAGAGACCTGGGAAGAAACATTTATTCATGAAATCTTTACCTAATCCTGTCATTCTTTCTCTTTTGTGCAGAGGCTGTGCCATAGAAGATGCACTATTACCGATATTCTAATGCAGAAGTCAGCTGTTGGTACAAATACTTGCTCTTCAGCTACAACATTGTCTTTTGGGTGAGTACAAAATGTAGAGGCTGAAATAGCTTAGGGCATAGCTAAGTTTTATTAACTTCATTATTCTGGTCAAGAGAACCAGCTGAAATATTTGTGTGAAAGCAGGAAACTGATGTATAGTATGCCCCAGGTGTTCTGTAATTGAAGAATCTTATCCCTTATGAGAAATTATTATTGAAAGTGTGAGGACTCAGTATCCATATTATCCATGTTAAATTGCTTCTCTGTTAAAAGAATCCTCTTATAATGTTTCCTTTCAGACCATCTTTGATCATTGTTGGGTGGTGTAGCTGTCAATACACTATGCAGAAGAGAAGAAAGGAGCTTCTTCAGGGATGTGTCAACAGCTGGCAGCACATGTCATGCTCTGTGGGCAGCTGAATTGTCTGATACAGTCTTGAAATACTTAGCTATGGACTAACCTGCCTGTAACATTTAGAATCGTGAGTGTGAAAAGATGCAACAGTACATGAGTGGATTTAGATGTTAATGAAGCACCTGCCTTGGAAAAGAAGGCCCTGTAAAGGTTAGAGCATAATGTTGCACCAGAAAGAGTTAAGATGTCTGTGAGGGGAAGGTCTGGAAGCAATTCAGACAAACTCAGTAGTTCCTTTTGGAACTTTCAGGTCAAATGTTAACAAGTTTGCACCTGAGGTCCTAGAGCTGCAGTCATGGAAAGGCACGAGTAGTCCTGGAAGAGTGCAGATACAGTCACTTGTCCAGTGCTAGCAGTAAAGCTGCTGATAACCACAGACCTCCTTGCTACTGTCACCACCTTTTCTTTATAGTGCAGTGCTCTAGCATGATACTGTAGCACTAAACCACGGGGGAGTTATCCTCCTGTGGATACCTGGGCAGAAAAGATTTGCAGAAACTTCTCTTCCATTAAAGGTTGATTTGCTACAATATTGCATCGTGAAAGTGATCACTGGGCATGATACTTTCTATGTCACAATTGAGGATGCTTTCAACAGGTCAGAAATTGTGCTTACAAGCCACCAGCTCTGCCATTCCTCTTCTTCTGTGTTGTGCAATTCCCATGTACCCGTGGTGGAGTGTGGCACAGTGAGAAGAGATGGTTATCAAACTGTTCTGGTTTTCAGAGAAATCACTTGATAACTATGTGGATGCTCTTCAGAAGTTCATAGTGGGTATGTGAGAAATCAACACTCTTGTTCATGAATATTAGGATTCCTCTAGACCTCTACGTTACTCTAGTGAGTGTCTCATGAAGTGGAGTTTGAGTGACTGTTTCTGACAATCTTTTAAACTGAAATTTTTTGTCTTTGCTGTAAGGGGAGGAAGACTGTCAAGAATTTGCCTCTGTTTTTTCACAGGAATAAATTTTATATCTTTTTTCTTCTCTGCAGTCACTACATTTTTTTTTCACTTTTTAAAAACTGTATTCTCTTGAGATGAATGATGAAGATCTAAAAATTTTTCTGTTCTTTAAAGAACAACTTTTAAAGAGATGCCAAAACATGGAGGAGAATTGATAACACAACCTGTGTGTTTCAGCTGATCTGTTGGCTGGAGGAATTAGCTTTCTGAACAGGTACTTGTAGTCCTGGTAGCTTCCTCAACAAAAGGGTCTGATGCTTCTGTTGATGTTATCAGGCTGACCTAGTAAATGATGTGCAGCTACAGCTCTGTGGATAAGATTTTTGGCACCTTTAGTTGTAGAACAAGCTATGTAAATGTTGAAGGTAGACACCCCTATAGGCAATCCATGAATCATTTAGCTGACACAAAGATTCAGGAGCCTGTGAAATCCTGCTGGCTGGAATGACTACAGATTCACCATTGGTGAAACACTGAATTTTCTGTGTGCCTTAGAAAAACTGAAGAACTACAAAGCCGGAAAGGGAAATGTAACCATAATCCACAAGTAGCATTTAAGGAGGGAATGTTTGTTTTGATTCACTTTCTTTGGGTTGCAGGACAGGTGCTTTTGGAAACTTGTTTATGAGCATTTGTTAGTGAGCCTGGTTGCTCTAGAGGTGGATGAGGGATGGATTTAGCTGGATGTCAGAGAGCCTTTTGCCCCCATATAAGCTGTTAGAGCTCTCCTGTGTTGATGCACAAACCAGGTAATAGTAAATAGTTGCAGGAAGATATTTGCATTTGTTCTTCTGTCATCCTTATTAAAGGTAAATGTTGACTTTCCCATTGTAGCTCTGAAGATATCATTGACTGTATAAACTTTAAACCATGTGCTGATGTAGTAATTCCCAGAAGTTTTAGACTTTTCACTGGGTGGTTACTGCAATTTGTGTCATGCTCCAAATGCAGTTCACATAGATTGGAATTAAACAAAATATTGAACTCAAAGAGGGCAAATATGACTAATGGCAAGCTCAGTGTAATCACCCTTTAGAAATCTACATTCTTTGGAAGTCTCTTTTTTTTTTCAGGGGAGTGATTTGGAAAAAGAAAGTTCTGGCTTTTAGTTATGTGCTGCTGGCTTGTAATACCACTTCTCTATTCTTTTAAGAAAGGGAGCGGAGGCCATAGGAAGGCTCTGCCTAAGCCTGATTTTCATGTGTGATTACTTTGTTTCCATCTTGCTTTTTAGGCATGCTCACAAGACTTGGCTTGTCCAAGTACACTCTTGTTAATGAGTGGTGATAAGGCAGTGCTGCAGCCATTAAGATAGCCCTGCAGAGAGCAAGATAAGAAGGCTGGACCTTTTTGTGTTTAAAAGCTTTTTTTTTTTTTTTTGGTCAAATCACTTCATTTGTCATGGTGCAATTTAAAGACTGCAACAATGCCAAGTGGAGAGCTTGGTTTTGGCACCTTTCTGTTCTGAGTCGTTCTGCAATGGAGTGAGCTCTTCTGTGAGAGCTCTGGTGCTTGCTGCTGTGCCTCCAGTGGAAAGGGTGTTTTTTGGGGTAGATTTGCACCTTGTGGGGCCGTGGCTGGTTCAGTGAATTCTCACATTTCCCACATGAAGGATTGCATGTGTGCTCTGCCAAAGCCTTTTATGTTGCATATGAGCTCACTGTCTCTCACATGAATTGAGAGGGGAGGGTAAAATAGCTTTTAGCTACAATCACCTGGGTTTGTCTTCTATAGGTCAGTAGTTGTGTGTGACTCTTAAGTGTTTTTGGAGGCAAAACCAGAACTTGTCACTCATCCTGTAGGAGATTTAAGAAAGGGAATGGAGGCCCTGCACATGGTGATGAAGGTAAAAAATTCTCTTCAGTTCTGGAAAAGAATTGAGTTTATCTCTTGGAAAAATAAGAGAACACCCAGGTTAGCATAAGATTAGCTTGGCTTTTCCATCATATGTTGTTTTCCAGGAACTTCTGTAACAGCCATGCTGTGCCAGGAAGAGGAGAGAATGCAGCACCAGGTGGTTTCCTGACCCTGAGAGGAAGAGTCTCTGAAGAGTAAGGGATAGGAAGGAAGGGGCTGCAGGCTGCTGATTGCTCTAGCGTGGGTGGAGCTGCAGTGTAAAACAGGATTATCCAGGGAGTGGGAAATGTGAGAATACACAAAAACTGCATGCAATTCCTATTGCTGCTGATCAGACCTAGGGACACACTGACCCACAATCACTTTGTGTTGCTAGCTTTGTCTTGCAAGAGCTGCCTACATCTGAGAAACAGATTAGCCCTGCTTTCTCAGTTGGTAGTGTGATTCTGGCAGCAGTCATAGGAATCATAGGAATTCAAAGTGTGATTGGGAATGGATAAATGGGTGATGCTTAAAAGTGGTAATTTGGGCACAGTGTCACTGAGTTGACATCAGTATTGTACATCAGAGCAGTGCCTACAGTTTGATGCACTATGTTTAAAAAGTGGATTTATCAGTTCTAAAGCAGGAAATAAGCAAATGCTGGTAAATAGTGTTTCAGTTTCTGGGCACAATTGAGCTGCTTTGTGTATGTTTCCATCTAACTTTTCATGGAGTAAATGGCTTGAAGGGCTCTGCAGTGCAGCAGTGAATTGGGAAATCCAGTTTGTTCTTGTTTACATGTTGTTCAGATTCTGGTGAAAGGCAAATTGCATAATGCTGTGCTTTTTGAAATAGCTGACTAGCCTGCTCTCATCCTGGGAACACTTTTGGTTGTCCTTGCTTCTTCTCAGCTGCCTGTTGTCCCATTCCTCAGCCATTTAGCTCAGTGAGCTGGAGGAGGTTAAAGCTTGGCTTTTAGTTTAGGCAGGATCAGTTCCCTGGTCTGCCTTGCAGACATCCTTTGGGTGCCTCTGTGCAGGTGTGTTAGAGAGGGGATTTTCCCGGGGCTGATTCTCTGTAGAGCTCTGGGCATGCTCAATCACACCCACTTCTGAGCTAGTTTGATCAGCATGGTGTGCTTGTGCAGTGGTTTTCAGTGAGATACTTTAAAGTACCTTGCACACAGTCTTTGAAGCAAAATGATTTAATTTCATTTCACTACTATTTTATGTTGTTGCAGATTGGTTGTTTTGGTTATTGCACCTGTCAATGTAGTGGCTGATGGCTTTGTTTCTTCTGCAAGTACCCCATACTTTACTGGATTTTTGCAAAAGAATTTTTTAATGTATCTGGCTTGGTTGCTTCTAGTGAAATTTTTGAATTGCTTGTCTTAGCTGAATTAAATTTTAGATTTATCCACATTGTTTTAATGAGACTAAGTATATTTTTCTTCTGATAAACTTTATTTTACTTGTAGCTAGTTTGCACAGATACTTATGGAAATAAATTTTCAAAAGTAGTATATTTTCTTGAAACTGAATGTTTTATAAAAACAGGAGCAAAGTTCATGTTCAAAGGTGAGAATAATGCATGCTAGTGAAAAATCTACTTAATCAAAAATTCGTTAAAATTTAATTAAGAAGGTAATTATAATGGAAGGCAGACAGTCTGAAGAGGTCACCCTATTTATAAATTCAATAGCACAATATTAGTATTCTAGTACCCTTCATTTGTATACAGAGAGTGGAATATGTCTTCCCAGTTATTTTTTTCCACCTTGTGTTCTGTAGAAAAAATTTCCAAAGATCCAGCTGTCTGTGTAATTTACCTTGATTACTGCAAATTATACCAGCTGTCTTCATCTGTCTCCCAGCATTCCTGGAGCATTTGGAGTGAAAAGGATGAAGGATGCATCAATTATATGCACTGTGCAACTTAATGACATACACATTTGATTACTGACTATTTTCCCTGCCTTTTTTTTGATCTGAAGATCACTGGGTTAAGATCTAGGGTTAATTTGGGTCAATATTCTGTTTACATTGATGTGGTTTTAAATAGTATTTTTCAAGTTACATTTTGATCCAAATGATCACTTTAGATGCTCTTAGCTGATTCAGAGTCCAAGGTGAGTACTCTATTGTGTACAATTGTGCTATTGCTTCTGGCAATTTATTTAGTACTGCTTTGTTCAGTTCTAGCTCCATGTGTCAGTGGTGGTTTTGGTTGCTTAATCCAGATTATGGCATGTAATAATTCCTGCATAGACAGGAAGATTGAGAGGTCATTTTAGTTTGATTATTGAAATTGGATGTTAAAAACAAGTTGCCTGAGCATTGAAGAAAGAGAATAAAATATTAGAACAAGGAACTTCTTCTTTTGAGTGACTGTAATTCAGGAGTATTTATTATTCAAACATACGAATTAGTGGATGGTTTGTTATAAATTAGATTTGATACTTATGGAAAGTAAGCAAATGGACCATTAATCCAGCTTCATTCAGATGGGCTTAAACAAAATAAGGATTCAGAATACAAATGGTATCTAATCAGAGAAGAGGCTAATACAGAGAGCCTTGGCACTGAGAAGTCACAAGGAGCAAGCGTGGCTACTGTCATAGCCATAATATTGGTACTATTAAGCAACTAAATAGGGAATAACCTCAAAATGCATTAAATATTCTGACATCTTCATTAATGGGCAGGCAGACACTTTCTAGCAAATCACTGGGACAAAGATAACTCCCACTTGCATGGTGCTCTGTGGGGCTGTCTGTTAAGTATCTCTTCTTCTTGAATAATGTGCTTTTTGAGTTATCATGAAGAATCAAATTAAAATACTTCTTAAAAAGTAATTTATAAAATGCATAAATGTTGTGGAATAAATGCCATTCAAATAATTTTTGTAAGAGATGGACTCATGGGGAATAAGGTCCCATTACTGGTGTCTCAAATGACAGGCAGTATTTGTTTTATTTGAGCAATAGTGCTACTAGGTAAGTTTTTTGATAATGTGGTTGATTATTACATCTAATTATATATTTTTTTTAATTTTAGCTAGCTGGAGTGGCCTTCCTTGCAGCTGGTCTGTGGGCATGGAGTGAAAAGGTAAGGATAAGAGATGGCTGGTCTTATTTCAGTGGCTGCCTCCTCCTGCTCCAGTAAAACTACTTCCTCAGGAAGCAGCAGAAGTTAAATGTAGCATCTGTACTCAGGAGCGTGTTCAAATAATCTAAACTGATTTTAGTTGGAATTTACTTCTTGTCCCTGATCAACAAATCTGTATTTCTCTACTCACCTCCTTTTATTACAAACAAATATTTGGGAGGGGTATGAGCTGTCTTTATATGTTGAATAGCACCACTAAATCTAAATGTGCATCTTCTAAATACTTCAGAAAGATGCTCCCAGTCTGTTGGCCATCTGTTGTCCACTCTCTTCCCCAAGGAGTGCTTAAGTGATTGTTTCCATGTAGAGGAACAGCACTGGGGAACATGGTGTAGCTGAATAACTCTTATTTTTAGCAAAGGTTTCTTGTAACTAAGAAACTTCCTCAGCTGAAGGAAGTTACATGCACATGTGCTCAGAGTTCTCCTGTTACAAGGGAACAGAATGATACAGGTATGGAAATTAATGGTTCCTCCACTGAGTGGCTGTAAAAGTATGGGTTTAATGAAGTCAAGCACTAGGAGAAAGTGACCATTACTAGAGTCACTGATCTGCATCTCAGGCAGGTGTGGAGGGCAGGTGCCCTCTCTGTTCAGTTGTGTCACAAACTAGTAAGACTTCAATTACCATCATGTGTTCACTTTTCCTTAATTGGAGTGGTTCCATACAGCAGCTGTCCACATGCACAGAGGTTCTGAGTCCTCTGCTTTTTGGAAGTGAGTTGTATGGTACTTTTAATTCTGAGGTATTTATTCTCCTCCTCCCTGCTCCCCATGTGCTTGCACACATTCTCATAACTAGGTTAGTGCTGTCATTGCTATATGAAAATCTATCTTGACACGCAAATACATTTGCCTCCTATTTTGTTGTTACAAAAGAATTTTGTTTCCAACCCTTAAAGGAGAATGTTAAACTTGCCTTGAGTTTGTTCTGTAATGTTCATTCTTCTGGTTTTTTTATAGAAGCACATATGATCTGTGTGGCTGGAGACTAATATCTCCATTTGCCAAATTGGCTTTATGGTACACTGAAGTGACTAAAAGGCAAAGGCAGACTCTTTCTGTCTTTCTTTTTTGAACTTTTCCTGAGTTCTTTCTGTTCTCTGTGCTATCTTGCAAATAAATGCTTCAAAGCCTTTCCTGTGCTTTTGAACTTCTGAATGGTTCATGAAATCTGTTAGTTATTTTTGTCAGTTGTTCTGTGCTGTTTTCAGTCTTTCAGAGCAGTGCCATTCTTCAGCCAATCGTGCCTGTATTTCACAGATAAGCATCTCGGTGAACAATAGATGGGAAGTAAGAGAAAAACTTTGCAGAAACTGAGCTGCAGTGGTAAACCCAAAGATAAACTACAGGTGGTGGAAGAGTTCTAAACATCCTGTCTCTTACCACAACATGGAGTACATTAGGTCCATTTCATTTCTATGATTTTGTCTTTGTTCTTTGTGCATTAGAAGTACAGATTAATTCCTCAGCAGTCTTTTTCTCTGGCTCCAAATCCTGTGCTTCTCTTTTGGCTGGTAATATATTGAAATGAGACTGCTGGTTTGTGAGAAGTGTTGAAAATACTACAGGGAAAAATGTTGCCATTGTGACTTCTCTTATTTGGTTAAGATCCAATCTCTCTAACTGGTCTATCTAATTGGCCTATCCTTATGATTTTGTAACTGACTTTGGTTATTCTGAGCAGTCACATAAAAGTTAACTTGCATAAAATTTTAAGAGTCAATATCTGTCCAACAACAGATACTGCAAAAGTCACAAAGAGTGAATTATTGTCAAGTGTTGATAGAAACAAGGTGAATAACATTGAGCCCTCTTATCAGCAAAACAGTTTTGCTTAGAATGGTTTCAAGGAGGACACAAAGGAAGATCTGGGAAACTAAAGGCTGGCCAGCCTCACTTCATTCCAGCAAGTTAGTGGCTAATAACAAATGGAGAGGGTACAGGCAGTTTTCAAATCAAGACTGTTGCTTAGAGAGACTTCAGGGGCATGGACAAAGAAGTCACTGTTCTGTGTGACTGAAAGGAAGACTTGAAGTGTGAGTTTTGTTACAGAATGTCTGACACTGAGTACAGGCATCAGGCTGCTCTCCTGTGCACCTGAGGAAGTCTGTGTTGTAAAGGGCAGCCTGTTTGTACCAGTGCAGATGGCACAGGCAGGAGTGTCTTTAGCAAAATGGGTATGGTGGGATTAGAGTGTTCTGAATTAATTCCATTGTTTCCTTCCTTCAGGATTTTTGACTTAACATCATTTCTTAAACAAAATCCCCATAACCCTCTTTAAAAAGAGCATGTTGTAAACATTAAGTGTGAATGTGAAGAAAGTGTTGTGGACCAGTGACCTCTGAGGCTGAATAATAAAGCCAGTTCCTGCCTACTTCTATTTGTAACATGCTTTGATCAGACTAAATTGTCTTCCAAAAAATGTTGCTTGAGCAAGTGAGATTGTGTGAAAACAAAAAGCTTGAGTTTGGTTGTGGGAAGGAGATGGCTGGCAATGGTTATGAATGTTTGAGCATCCTGGTCACACAGGGTTTGGTTTCAGAGCATGTTGATTCTACAAGGATGCTGCATTAGCCCATCTGATCCTGACAGGTGTTTCTTGACTGTGGGGTCTGAGCCAAGATTTGATTAGGTGGGACTCTCATAATTAACCAGGTAGACCAAGTTTTTTAGCTGTGAGGTGTAACAGTTTTTAAAAATGAAAGTGTGTGACTGGTAAAACATTATCTACAAACTAGGACCATTTTGTACTAGCCTGTTTGAACTGTTAGTCACCAGCTGTTGCAAGGCAATTCTGAGTCCTTCAGTTTAATTATTTTTTTTTCCTTTTCATCCCATCAGCCAGTTTTGATATAAACAACTCTGTTTTGCTGTTGCCAAATTAACAGCTCTGACAGAATCTGCTATGGAACATGCTATGAAAGAAGATGGAGTCTTGTGGAACACTGCAGTGCTGTTAATCAATGTCCTCAGCTGATGGAGTTCCTCCAAGGGCACATTTTCTTCTAATGCTGTAGATTTTATTTTGTTAAGTAAGCAATTGAATAAGAAGTGATAGAGATTTTTCCAAGGTCTTATCTTGGGATGCATATCCTTTGCACTTTATTCTAGAATGTATACCTGGTAGAAAGATGGTAATTTGCATTTTATTGAAGGAATTGAGCAGCTTATTCCAAGTGTCTCTGATATTTTGCTCTTACACTAAACATGGTTAGGTTGAGAATATACTCTATAAACAAAAATAGTGAACATGTGTTGACTTTTGTTATTTCTTTGTTTCAAAAGTGAAAATATTTCCTTACTAAGATGTTCTGTGTATTGTTAATGGTTGTATGATGAACACTCACACTACTTCAGGGCTGCCTGGGTGTCCCTGCAAATCATTCTCATGAAGAGTTTGTTGTTTGTCCCTTCTGTGTTCTACATCTTCCATCTTGTTCTTGCACATACCCTGAGAATCCTGCTATATTTATTTGATGGAGTTTTAATGGTAGCTGGTGTAATAACTTTTTAAAACCTAATCTAGAAAGTATAAGGAGGGTTTTCGCAGTGTTAGCATTGCATTCACATAGATTTAGCAATCTAAGTGCACAGACTTCATAGCAAAGATTATTGTCAGGATAAATGGTTTTTGGATAGTTAACAAAAAAGAAACTATTGCTTCTATGTTGGGAAAATTGCAAATATAGACAATAGGTAAAGGTTTTTGGTGTAAGAATATCAGGGGTGAAAGGGGAGTGTTTAGACTATGCTGTTATATTTCTGAAAGAGTTTGGAGTAGCCCTACTAAGACTCTCTGACACTAGAAGGATTGTAACCAAAAAGAGAGGAAAAATATGCTTCCCGTGAAAACAAAAAAAAGGTTTCCCTCTTTCAAATGTCATCCATAAGGTGCTTTGTCCTTAGAATGTCTTTCCCTTTGTCCCACTTAAACATTAGAATTGGAAAAGTTTTCTTAATATATTTTTTAGGCCGTGATATTGGAGTGCCCTTGTGATTGATGCATTTCAAGTTGATATAAAACATTAATTCTTTTACCTTGAAACTAAGTGAACATTCAGTGGTAGAATTGAGCTTTTGGCACCATCTTGTGGAATTCTGTTTGGCAAATAGGACGATGTAGCCCGAGAAACTGACTTACTAGAAGAATTGCTAGCTATAACTTTAATACTTCCTCTGCTGGGGTGAAGAGAACTGCTATTGTCAGTGACCATTTGACAACAAGACTCTTTTTGTTGGTGTCACTGTTGGCAAGTTCAAGAGTTTGCAGCCAGTTCATTGGGCATCGTGGAAATCATCCAGAAGGAATGCTGAGTGAATGAGATGCTTACAGTGGTCACATTCTGTTCTGGTTTTTTCTTGCAGGGTGTATTGTCTGATCTGACAAAGGTGACTGGTCTTCATGGTCTGGACCCAGTGGTGCTTGTCTTAGTGGTGGGAATAGTGATGTTCACTTTGGGATTTGCTGGTTGTGTGGGAGCACTGAGAGAAAACATCTGCCTGCTGAAGTTTGTAAGTAACATCATTACATGAGGGAGTTATTATATGTGTGAAAGCTGCAAATGATGAACTGGGAGCAAACCCAGATAATTCATGATAGAATTTGGTTTGTGGCAAAATACATGGTAAACTTGCTGCCTTGATAAACCTCTGAGTAATGGCATTGAAAGCAGAGTGGTCCTAGCTTATCTATTCTCCTCTTTGTGGAACATGTTCTTCCCTGCCTTTTTTAATTTGTTCTGCTCTGCAGTGATGTTATAGTAGGTATATCAGAATCTAACATTGTGTTGTTATGGAACATGCTTAGTCAGTTAGGAATCACTGAGAGAGTATAATATAGTGGAACAAAATCCCTTAAAAACTTTAAAGTTTCTTGTATGTGTTGGCAAAACTTTGGGACTTCAGAGACTGATGTAAAATTTCTTAAATGGTTCTTTTTATACTGAGGCTTCTTATTTGCTTCAGAGCTAAAAACAGCTAAGCTAGACAAAAAATTAAAAAAAAATAAACTATAAAATTAGAAACAATCCAAGAGGTAATCAAGACTTCTTTAGCCCTGTGTTTTACTGATTCTCATTTATTATTGTTTTCATTGCTGTGAATAATGACTGTCTGATGGTCTTTTTACTGTCAAGTTCAGGTGACAGAAAAAAACAACTCTTCCTCTTGGGGTTTCTTTACCTTGTATAGTCACTGTGCTCAGTGTCTGTACTGAATCAAAATATGAACCCAGTTCTGTATCTGTTTCTGGTGGTATAGGAATGCATTCAAAATGAATTAATATTTTCTAATTTAGGACTTTTGTTTTTTACAGTTCTGTGGAACAATTGTGTTTATATTCCTGTTGGAGCTGGCAGTAGCAGTTATGGCTTTCCTGTTCCAGGACTGGGTGAGGGACAGGGTAAAAGAATTCTTTGAGAATAACATTAAATCCTACCGAGACGACATTGACCTCCAGAACATCATTGATTCACTACAGAGAATTGTAAGTTCATATCCTGTCACTTCTTTGATGCCTTCTAGGAGAATATAGATTTTAAAGTTTTCATTTTTTAATAGAATCATAATAATTTGTAGCTAATAGTACTGTTACTGATCTGCTGGTTTCCTTCCTTCTGTATTGAAGGCAGCAGGGAGGGAAGATAGCCTGAGGTCCAGGCTTGTTCTGATGTCTGCTGTGGAAGCTCTCTCAGGCATGCATCTGCCTTTGACCTTTCTCATTTGCTCCCCTTTCCCTTGCTCCCTAAGAAAAAGCTTTCTCTTAAAAAATTTGGCAGTGGAACTTATTGTATGACAATTACATCTAAAATGGTAATTTTTATGAATTGCCTTGACATGCTGACACTTGTTTCCAGGAGCAGTATTCCAGATGTATTGCTTTGATTTCACAGAGCTTTGATTTCATGTCTATTCATTGTTTTTACTCTGCTGTTGTCATTGATTCTGCACAGACTTAGGGATAGTGAAGATTTGTAAGCAAACACTGTTTGGAGGTATTTTAGAGATAATTTATCCACTGAACAAACTTCTGGAATGTATTTATCTGCTGCAGAACCATTGCTGTGGGGCCCAAGGTCCAGAAGACTGGGACTTCAACATCTACTTTGACTGCAAGAGTGAAAGCAAAAGTCGTGAGAAGTGCGGAGTTCCTTTTTCCTGTTGTATACCCGATCCTGCTGTAAGTTGTTTCCTGGCTTTGTTGTTGCCCTGAGATTGTCAGGTTATCACAGGAAGTACTTCCTGAATAAGGTGTTGAAGGGCTTTGAGGTGTCCTAAATGACTAAAAATCACTCTTGTGCAGACAAACCTTTTTTTGTGTTTCTATTGCATTCTTTTTAGAGTCCAAATGTGGCAACCTGTTAAGTGAAAATGTGTTGTCACCAGGAATTCAAGCCATTTTGGTATGGTTTGCATCTGAAGCACTGGTGGCTGGCTATTTTTTATTCCCAGTGTGTTGTTTCCTTGGATCCCTGGCCTTTTTCAGGCGTGTAAAGAGCTGAGACCTCTAAGAGTGTGTTTACCCCAGCTGGAATTAATGTTTCACCACCCCTTTGCCAGACAGGCAGGAGTAGCTCCATTTGCTGCTTTGTCAGTAATTAGTGAAGTACTCATGTATGAAGTTTAAAGCTTCTGAGACAGTCCTTGGTTTTGGCAAGGTTTAGGTGCTTATTGGTTAACTTGTTTTACTAAACTTTGTGAAACTTTTGAGCGTTGCAGCAGATGCCAAAATGTGGAGGTAGGGGCTAACTTAGAGTGCTTTATGGTATTATTGGGAATACTTAAAGCTTGAAATCCATCCAGCAATCCTTGTGCTGAGAGCCACTGGTAAGTTATATTTAATACCTGGTAGGCTTCTCTGATTGTATTGGCAATCAGCCAAGGAAAGCCTTTGTCAGGGCCATATTCCATGTTCAGATTCCCCAGTAATTATTTTCTAGCCTAGTTTGGAGCAGTACTGTTCAACTGCACATTTTTCTGTTGCTGGTGCTATATTTAAGGAGGCAGAAGGATGCTTAAGTCTGTTTAAAGTGAGATTCTATTATTAATATTTCAATAAAACTTACTATCAGTTTTGTAAATGCAGATGTCTCACCTGTGTGATGGTAGTGCAGTTTTCATGTTAAAAAGTTGCTAGTTGAATGCAAGTGATAGAAGCAGCTGAGATTTCTGATGCAGGATATCATCTGATATCATCATCTATAGTACACACCTTTGCTTTGTCATTAATTTTCTTCTGTTCTGCTAGGGCTTTGCTTGTTCTTGCTAAAAATGCTTTTAAAAATGTTTGGCTCTGACAATTGATTTGTTTATGGATATAAAAGATAGAAAAACTTGCTGTGAACAGAAGCGAGTACAAGTAAATTGATTTGTTTATTTAAAATCTCTTTTGCTTTGCAGCAAAAAGTTGTGAATACACAATGTGGCTATGATATCAGAAAGAAGGTAAGGTGCTGTCTGTCATGTTCTGTGCCTGCATAGACAAGACTAAAACTGGTGGGATTGCTGATAGATGTGTCAGCTCAAAATTCTAGGAGCTAATAACTGTCCTACATCATACTACAGGTGTAGAGCAAGGTAGACATTGTACTTTGTTTAAAGTAACCTCCTGCTGTGGGAGGGGAGAGAAAACAAGTGGGAACAGGTGAGGGGAAAGGTGGATTTCAAAAAGGGATAGGATTTGGATTTCAAGTGTTCATTTCAATTACCAATTGTAATAGTCTAAATCTGCTGATCTGTTGTTTGCTAATTTGACCATCTATCATCTGCTAGTCTATTATCTGCTAATTTTACTGTGTTTCTAATAAACATGATTTTCAGGAAGATAGAAATATCAATGCCTGACATTCTCCAATTCACATGTGTATTTTTGAAGTGTGGTTAAAAACTTTACTGCAAAAGTGACAAGACATTAGCCTAGCTAGATCATGTGATTGATCTTATAGTAAAGTTGAGCAGAAAAGTAATATTCTTATTCTTCCTTTTTACATTCAGAGCAAAAGTCAATGGGATGATCAGATTTTTGTCAAAGGATGTATCCATGCACTTGAAGCTTGGTTACCCCGAAATATCTACATTGTTGCAGGTGTCTTCATAGCGATCTCACTGCTCCAGGTTAGTTGTTACTGCTATGATTCTTTGAGAAATTGTCATGTTTGTAGGTAAAGACCTGCTGAAGGTAAAAGTAATTATGGACAGGTATAATAAATATTTTGAATGTGGATTTTTTAGGTTTGATAAGAGGATGGCAGGAACACCTATTATAGTAAAGGGGAGTTAGTGTGAAAACACCTGTTGCACAAAGCAGTGAAGGTTATAATAAAAATACAGTGCAGTAATAATAGTGTGTGATAATTGGGATATATATTGTAATATTATAATATGTAATATTATATATATTATAATATTATAATATAATATGGTCATATGTAATATACAATTATTATATAAAATATTCCCTGTGTTTCAACGCCATTAAGGAGGGGGGATCTGCTGTCTGCTGCAGTAGATCTGAGCTCCAGCTTTCTATCACAAATCTGAACTAAGCTACAGCCTTGTCCTTCATGCTGAGGCTACCTCAGCTGGCTGTAGGTAACCTGCAGTGGCTGACCTAAAGTGGCTGTAGCATGCTGCTCAAAAAGGTTGGGAATGTAAGAGCAGGGAAATAGGTGAACAGGTAGCAAATGTGATGTTAGCAGAACCAGATGGAAGATGGTGACTTCTGTTACCTCATCAGTGCTTGGTACATCAGAGAGGGAGCTGAAACTCTCACTAAAGCATCTTACATTACTGCTTTCAAGGTGGATGCTGCTTTCATTGTGGCAGTTGTTTGCACTGCGTTCTATGCTATGAAATTCCTTCACTTCAATGGGAAACAATAAACTTTAAATTCTGCTACAGAAAGTATTTTCTATGTAATTGACAATAGTTGAGTATGGAGTGCTAGCAAAAGTCCTTCCTCCAGCCCTGGTAATACTGCCCTCTGTAGCTTAGGGTCTGATATGTTTTTATCACCATCTGGTGATAATGCTTCCATGGGATTGAGAAATGCTGTGCTAAGAACAGCACCTCTTGCTAGGAAGATGGTCAAGACACAAAGTTTAATCATTTGGCAGTGTGTTGATTGACAATAACTTGACAATGCTGTTCTCTATTCATGTCCCAAGACTCTGTGAAACCACTCTCAGTTATTTGTGTTTTCCAATTGGGTCTTTCTTGTGCATTAAGCTATTTTATTGTGGGACTGAGAATTAGACATAACCTGACTACATTTAAATGAAATCTTTTAGCTTTCCAAAACTTCACCCCAGTTGTATATTATTACTAAGAATGCTTTAGGGAGTTTGCTGAGTTACAAGTTTATCCTCAGTTTGTAAAGGAAGATTTCCCTGAGAACTGACATGAATGTTAAAATTTCAAATTTCAAATGTCTCTGAATAATCTGGGACTACTCTGTTGTCTGTGACAAGAATTTCATTTTAGTACTGGTAATTGTACATTCTGTCTGTATTTAAAAAAATTGATCTGAAAACTGACTGGGTTGTTATCCAAAGTTGTGGAACGAATGCCAGTGTCTGCTTTGTAGCTTTAGCAGTAGGTAAGCATGGGTGTTTATGACACTCAGGCTTGGTGAAGTGGGTTTGTTCTATCTCTAAGGCATCTGAAAGCTTATTATTTTGAAGGCTGCTGAAGTTTTACATGAAAGCATCTTTCTCATGAGTTTTATTACCTGCAGGATTCTGTTGCCTTTATTACCTTTTAGTAATAGCTATGTTTTGATGGATGATCTTGGCTATGAAATATCTGAACCTGCCAACAAACATCTTGCAGACTGGTGCATTACAAGTGTTTTATCTCACAAAATGGTGTATTTTTTATCTTTTTAGATTTTTGGGATTTTCCTAGCCAGGACATTGATTTCTGATATTGAAGCTGTAAAGGCAAGTAATGCCTTCTGAATATGAAAGCAGACCCATGTTGCAAGACAGTGTATGTTAAGATGATTGATTGGACACCGAGGCAGAAGAAATGCACAGACCATGAAATACTCCTGTTGTTAAAAGCCTTATGTGGATTTTTTTTTTTTTCCCCTGCTCATGGTTTTTGTTAAAAGCTGTTACAAAAAACAATCACCAAACACATGCTGTCTACCTTTTTTCTGGCAAGACAACTCAGCGCACCAGCGTTGGTCTCTGAGGAAGAAATGGAATTTCCCAGGACACTGGCAGAGCAGATTTTCAAGACTGTAGCAGGGAGCCATGAAACTGCTTTTCTTGAAGGATTGCTATGAAGATTGTTCTGTCTTCACTTCTGTCTTCTGTCTTAAAATGTAATCTTGTCAAATGTCACTTGCTGATTTCTTCAGAACCTTGCAATCATGTTAATCTCTCCAGTAGACTTATCCAGCCGTTTTTGGCAGCATCTCCAGCAACCATAACCGGAAATTGGGGAAAAAAAAATCACAAAATGTCCAGATCTTTAGTTGATTTTTAGGTTGTGCAAATCCCACGCTATTTTGAATAATTCAAGCCTGCTCCCAGGATGGGAAAAATCTGACTATCTATAGCATTAAGTCTTAAAAATCTCCATTTCAGGCAAGAGGGTGTAAAGCCCTGATGCTGTTTCCTGTCTGAGAAAAATGTAAATATTCTTTATTTATAGAAGAAAAACCTCTTTAAAAATGCTTATCCTTTCAATGATCAGTAATAGCTTTAAAAAGGGCTGTCTGCATACACTTCAGAATGCAGCTTGTTTCAGTAGGTAGCAAGCATGCTGTGCTAGCTGTTGATGGCTTTTGTTATTCCTCTAGTTTCTGTCACAACTGCTATGTTGATCTTCAGAAGTTTTAACTGTCACTACCAGGACTGATGAAAGACTTGCAAATTCAGTGTTAATGTCATTTTCTACATGAAGCTGAACTAGTCCTTCTTATGTCAGGGTTTTCATTTTAATCAAGAGAAAATGAAACTCTTCTTCCAATCCTCCTTTGTGGGGATTAGTAGATGGATCTGTAGGTCAGTAGGGGTTCCAGTCTCTTCTGTAAGACTTTGGTGTTGTCTCCTTAGCTGTAAGGTGGAAGTCTGTGGCTGAAGTGTTTTTGGAAGTAGCTGTAGCTGTCAGTCTTACTGTGGGCCATATAACTAACATCATTTACTGCTTCTGGTGACACCAGGGTTTTCAGGGAGAGCAGGTTCACTTACAGTGCCTAACACAGTGTAAATTTTAGAAAAGTATCTATTTTTATAATGATATTTTACTATATGTAGTGTGCCTGAAGATTTAATACTTGTCTTTCTAAAGTATATGGCTTTCTTTGGAAGCCAAGCTTTTAAATATATTATGTTATTTTTTCCTATTATGCATATATTAACAATCATTTCACTGGCAAAAGTTGATCAACAGTAAGAATCTTTGTGTCTGGTGTCCAGACACAATTGTCCAGACACCCTTCTTGCTTGTAATCTGTGAAGCACTTCAGACAGTGCTCATGTGTACTTCAGCTTTCATAGTTCTTTTTCTGGCCAGTGATTGAGACACAACAGGAAAAGGAAGCTTGTCTAAGGATGGCTGATTTCCTTACAGTAGCAGAGAATAGTCTGCTATTAACTCATCTAAAAACCTGCAAGTTAAATGGCTGGAAGTACACTGTGACTTTTTAAATTGGGTATACAACAAGAAAACAATAGCAGTAGATCACTGAGGGGAGAGCAAGAGGCATTTCTTCTGTAAAGCCATGAATTTGAGGTCTGTGTTACCTTTTTGTTGAATCTGATCCATGAGAAGCAGCCAGAAATGTGTGATTGTAATACAACTTGGTAAGCAGCAGAGTAGTGGCCAGCAAACTTTGCTTTAAATTCTGGTGCTTGAAACCTTGTAACACCTCATCAGCCGATTTACTTGGTTATGTGTGATAATCTGATGTATGTAAAATCAGAGAAGGCAGATTCCTGTTTGGAAGTTTTTAGTCATAAAACCTTGCATTGAAAACACCAGCTAGAGAGTACATTTCCCTTTGCCAGTTTCTGACACAGGCAGCTGCTAGTGCTAGGAAGGAATTCCAGCGATTTGGTGAAAATCATTCTGGTGTCAAAGATGGCTGTGGAGCTCATGCACTGAAATTAGCTGCTGACAAGAGCCAGCATTACAGATTACAGTTCCAGGGTCTGCAAATCTTGCCAAGTTACCTGAAGACTAATTAATACTTCATTTTTTTGAAGCACTGTTTGTATGCAAACCAGAATTTAACTGAAGTATTGTATTTCCACAGTTAATTCTTAATGGCTTTGGCCATATTAACACCAGCCTTTGTATCAGTGTTTCAGTTATTTGGAACTGAATTTGAGGGAAGTTCAACTTATTTGAGGACCTTTAAATTCATGGAGGGATTTGTCTTTTTTGCCACTGTGGATAAACTTCTCTATGCTTATTCAGTGTAATTTTTTAAATCCTGGGGCTCTAGGTTGTTTTGCCCCTGTATGTTCTGAAGTACACCCATACTTGGCTGGTGTAATTTCAGACTTGTAAGGGGAACACTTTCTACTTAGTTTTATTTAGCACCTTCTCTGTGGACCTGCAGTGACTTCATGGCTGAAGATTTAGGTTATGGTCTAAAATAAGTCTTGTCAGCAAAAGCAGCTGGGTGTGAGCCTGCCTCTGAAGCCTCAAAGGAAAATTATTTCAGTGATCTCACTGAGAGGTCTGATACATTGTTGATGTTGAGATTTCAGCGGTTGCATTTGGAACAAGTTCACAAACACTACAGTGGAACCAAGGTGTTTCATGAAGATGTCAAAAGAGGTCAGACTTGAAGAACTGGACTGAGAGAAGCAAACTTCAATGTGATATCTTTTATTTCTCAGAAATGAGCACAACTTATTTCCGTTAAGCAATGTATGTATGTGTCAGTGTGTTTGACAGTGCAGCTGCCTCTGGTGTTATTGATACAACTGCATTTGGACACAGTTTCCCTGTACATGAAGAGGAGGATGAATAGAAGCACTGAAAAAAGTGCAGTGACCAAAGGACCTTGGGTTGCCTTGTGAAAACCGGAATGTTTCTTCCCAAGAGATCTTTAGCTTTGGTGAGCTCATGCAGTGCCATGTGGACAGACTTGTGCTCCCAGTCCATGGAGCTTGATGTGGCCATTGATTTAGGTGTAGAACTGCCTTCCTTGGGTTTTGTATCCCCATCCTTCCCTCTTTCTTCCCCTTACTGCCTGTGCATTGTCATGCAGCTTGAACATTGTTCAGCCACTGGGAGGGGAGCTCCTGTCTCCTCTTCTGAGATGGCTTTTCTGAATGACTTTCAATATATTTTTTTTTCTCAAGCCTTAAATTTGATTAAATAAAATTCAATATTTTCTACTCCTGGAGTTTGATTCCTGAGATTTGTTGCTTACAGTCACTAATATTTCACTCGTGAAGGTTTAGACTGGCTACTGAGACTGCAGTTTGTGGATAACCCAGAAATGGTGAAGGTCCAGGAGTGCTTGGTTTTGTATTTTGCTGAAAATATTTCTTTATATTTTTTCTTTTCAGTTTGAGTTGTTGAATAATAGATGAGACTGATGCTTTTTTCTGTATTTTTAATGGAAAGCCATGAACAAGTGAAGAGCTGCAGGATGGTGTAGAGTAACTATTCCATCTCTGGAAATTGAAAAAAGTTAAAAGTGCTGTTTTTCTTTTCTCCTATTATGTGGTCAAAACTTAGTTGTGTGTTACTCAGCAAGTGTCACTTCTCTTGGGTGGTTTTATGAAATGCCCTTTCTCAAGGCCACTCCTGAAAGTGATATTTGGTGATGAGTGTCATGGGCTAAGTAGTGCTACTGGGTTTTGCAAGTGGGAAAGCTTTTGTGGGAACTAAGTTGTTGTGTTTGTTTGCAGACATATGCCAGTTGTTCTCAAATTGAGAACATGAAACCTTGTTGACTTCTAAATACAGTCTGCTTTATAATAGGTTTCTGAAGATCAGTGTTGTTTATTTTTTTCCCCAATAGATTTTCTGCTGGCTGAAAAAAAAAGTAATTGCTCCCAAGCTTTCCAGTCTCTACCACTTCATTGTTTTGAATTTGATCTTCTAGGTCTGGACAGCATGACTCTGCAATGTACCTTCAACTGCTTCAAAAATTTCCCATAAGAACAAGTTGTGGAATAAATCTGTTACCTTCTCATCTAGTGATCTTTTTAAATACAAAAGGCTTCCACAGAAATGTTTACTTTTTTTTTTCCATTATCTAAAGTTAAACCCAGGTTCTCTTATGGGTGGTAGTGGGAATGCTGGCTGCCTCCACATCCTCACCCCTGCCCACTTGTAATTTCTGACTGGCTTTATTTCTTTGTCTTGTCCACGTACTGTGTGTTCACTGACTGTGGTTTCTTGTAAACTTTGCTTCTGCAGAGTCTCATTCCAGTAGGTGCAACTCTAAAGTCAGGACAAGACTGTAGCCTCAAGTATTTAGAATATAATCTAACTCATGTTTCAGGTTGCATGATAAAAGCTTAAGGCTTTTATACAATTATTTTATAGTCCCATTGATACAAGAAAAATTGCAAGTGTGTATCCTAATCTCACAAAACCAAGCCGCTGAAAAATGTATAACAAGTGGTAATTGCCTGATGTTTCTCCTGTGATGTTTCTTAACCCCATTTGCTTGACAGGACTTTTTCCTGCTGCTGTGTGTTAGTGGCTCAGTGAGGAGCAGCAGTGGTGCAAGTATCAGGCCAAAGAGATGTGCTAATGAGGAGGTTTTTATACACAGCTTTCAAAGCAGGAGCTGCACTGGGCTTCAGCAGTGCTGGTTGTGCAGCAGCATGACCAAGGCAAGTGTTGCAAAGCTGGTGCTGTGTGCCTCAGCAGCAGAGCTGCCTTGCCATGTGGGAGAAGGGAGGTTAGTGGGGTGTCTCTCCTCTCAAAACCTGTAATGTTGTGATGGCTCCCTTGACCACATCTGCATTGCTGTGGCTGCAGAGTTGCTCAAGGGTGTCTTTGATCTTGTCCTCTTCGATTTCTTGTCTCAGATCACCTGAATGGGAAATGAAATGATGACTTTTGGTTATCTGCCATGGCCTAGTGGCTCCCAACAATTGTTGTAAGATAAAAGTTTGGAGTACTCGCTGTTCATAATAAGCTGCTTCAATTAAAACATTTGTTTCAATAGATACCCTTTCAGCCATTGGAAGTATTGGCCAGATTAAGGTTTTTTCCTCTTACTTGACTTCTAAGAACTAATTGACAGAAAATAAAAGGAGATTTTGAAATTCTAATACAGGACAATTTCTGGCACTTTTTTGCCTGTCTGCTTTTTGCTACCATTCCATGTTAGTTAGACTCAGCTCTTAGCCTTACAGTTAGTCTATAAAATGCTAAGTATATACATCTCTAGGAAAAAGTCTTATAGATTGTATCTGTTATGTCAATACTTCATAGTAGCACAGGAAGCTACAAGTTCTTTATCCCTATTCCAGTATCTGTGTGGCTACAGGGATAAAATAGAGAACACTGCAAAATGCAGCTCGTCTGTCAATACAGGATTTAAAAGGCAGCTCACCTTGTGATACATCCTTGCCCAACTACAATTGTTATTTTCAATTTATGTAATTTTTTTTTTTTTGGTTAAGATGTGAGAAACTGCCACGAGATTTTTGGACTCCTGTTTTCAAGGTGATTGTTTTCATTTAGTGGTACACATCTGGGATAGTCCCATCCTGCTGGAAGCATTTGAAGTCTTCCCTGACCATGGAGTGAAACTGAAATGGTGCCTTTCACATGCTTTACTCAGTCACTGTGTGAAGGCAGCATTGCTAAAATGGCAGCTTTATCTCAGCTTCTGCTTTGCTCACAGCGCAGGCAGAACAAATGTCTGCCCGCCTATGAGCATGGTACAGACTTTTTCTTGGGACACAAAAATGCTCTGAGACTGCCAGGCATTTGTGCATGGTGAAGTTGGACAAAGATGCTTTTACTCCAGGACTCTAGTTTTGCTATTTTGAGACTTGGTAATGCCACTGACTCACTGGAATGAAGCCTTCCTCTCTTTATTTTATTCAACTAAAGGTTTAATCAGCTTTTCACAGAGAAGGAAACTACTTGACTCTGATTTTTGGTGATCAATACAGAATGAACCTCTAATATCCTTTACTCATTCACTAGAGCATTGCAGGAAGCATATTTTGGTAACAAAAACCACTTTTCTTCACAAACATTCATCCTTCTGTCACAGACAATTTAAAATGAGGTTACCTGAATTAAGAAGTCTGCACAAAAGGCCCATTGAATTGTATTTCACCTCAGGACTTGTGTTATCATCTCGTAGAAGTTTGTGTAAGCTCTGAACTAGCTGTGATTCTTTAAAAGATTCTTCAAGAGTTTCTGAAAAATAAGCAAAGAAATGGTAACCCTGAGCTGTTATCTGAAAAGAAACTATAAAGTGAATATGTTTCCTTTTTTAAAGAAAATTGTGCACTGGCTTCATTTCAAACTGGCTATACAGGGATGTCTTGAGCATCTCTCTTCTGCACTGAAGAATTTCTGTGCTCTTTTCTGTACAGAATTTCTTTACTGGCCTTATTCTTGAAGACAGGACCAGTCTACTATTGACTGTATATAATTAACCTTGTAGTAAATTAAAACCTGCAATGTTCAGTGCTAGAAAGGTTGCCTAAATGAGTTTGAGAGTTTTAATGGTAGACAAGCAGTAAAATGGGCTCTTCAGTCTTATGTGTTGGTAAAGAAAATCACAAATTTCAAGTGCATTTTTCTTTTCAGTTTATCTTTTGAGGTACATAGGTTTCTGTGGTGTCTCTTTATTGTAGTAAATTCAGACCTATTTTCAAGTTATACAGGAAAAGTCTGAAAACATTTGTACCTAACTCTGAAAATTAGCTCAGGAAAGGTAGTTTGAATCTTGACTGTTTTCTCACTTGTTTTATTTGCAGCTTCTACAATGCCTTTTTATTTATGCTTCTGCTTTATTCTTTCCTCATGTTTGTTTGAAGATTATTTCTGCTACTTAGTCTTCATTGTCCATTTGAGTATATTATTTGTCCTTCATTTAGCTTTTGTCATCTTTTTTTATCTCCATCACCTTCACTTCCCCCTTTTTTTTGTAGGTTTCTACCATCATATTGTGCTACTCAAATAGTGCCTGTCCACACAGCATGATAATTTGACTGTATCCTAAATTTAAAAAATCCTTCAGACCATTCCCAAAGCCTATTGATTTTATGATCTGAATGATGACAACCTTTATTTCATGCTGAAGAGCTAAATCTAGACAAGAAACATGCTTTTTTTTGTACATGTTACCTAGAATTAACAGCATGACAGTATTTCTTAATAATTGAGGATCTTACACAGATAAATGCTTTTAGGAGGAAAATACCTAAATCGATGGCAGATGCTATTGCCAAGGCATTCAGAGCCTCATTCTGCATGGCAGCCTGTTCACTTGTTGTCATGGAAACCAGATGCTTCACTCCTTGTGCTGCCTGGATGGCTTTGACCACTTCCTGTGAAAGCAAAGGTAAAACAGATGGAAATCTAATATAGGAATGCAATAGAATGAAGAGGGAAATGAGATTGCACCCTTCAGCTTCTGAATAGAGTGAAATTTTGTTAGCTGCAGTGCAAACTGACAATATTCAAAGACTAGGGATAACATTGCTTTTGGCACTGATCATACATGTCTGCTTGGGGCTGGTCTAATATACCTGGAATATCAATACTTAGAATTAACTATAGATGCAAATCTGTAAGGCAAATATATATTTTTTCTTGTTTCAATTTGTCCTTATTCCACTCTTCATTTCAAGCCATCAAACTAGCAAGGATTAGTTTTGCTTTATCAAAGCTTGTGCAGAGAGTATCTACTTCTTTAGTCACTACCTCATAGTAAAGCATGTCTGGGATGCTTGTGTGTAATAGCACAATTTACAAAAACCAGAAGCCTGTTTGAAAATGCCAGCATGTAAAGATCATGCCAGATTTGTCCATCATGGATAAGTGGGCTCTTTGGAGTTTCCAGAGGACTGACATTTAGGACAGCTCTGGATTATTACTTTTACCATTTTAATTTGAAACATATTTATTGCCATAGAAAAGCTTTACCTGCTCATTACCATTTGTCAAGCCTTACTAGAGCAGGGTCAGTGTTGACAAGTGACAGAAAGTGACCATGGTGCTGGTTTCTGTGAGGTGTCTGTGCTTATGGAGTGCACAGGTCTCCCCCTTACTGGTATTGAGGCAGACCAGAGAGGTTCTCACTGTGAACCTTCCTGGTTTTCATTATAGAGCTGCATGTGCTGTTTAATCCCTAGCTCTGTCTACAAGCTTTAAAAGTACTTGAGAAGGATGGAGTAGAAAGGTGTCAGAGCA